AGGGGTTTCTCCAAAAATATGGTTGGGGGGAAGTCATAATTTTTGGAAAATGTCGATGATTTTTTTTTGTAATTTTGTTTTCAACAGTATAAAATTGTTTAGAATTACAGGTTGGTGGGGGGGGGGCGCCTGATATGTGTGTAATAGGTACATTCCAAAGCGTGCAGTTAGGTATATATATAATATATGCGCCTTAATGCCTTATTATAGTTATTATTAGGTATTGAAAAAATTATGATAATATATCGGACAATGGATCACGATTACAGCCTACAGGTGTACTTTATGTACATTGTACATTTGTACAAGTATAACAAATTACAAGGTTCAACGCGTAAGTAGATAAAAAAAAATAATAATAATAATAAATTGTGCCATAATTTATATAATATATTAAGCACCTTCCGCAAAAATTAACCGGGAAAATTAGTCGAGTGACATTTTGTGTGACATAAATTCGCATAATATAATCATTACTTTTAATAATACAGGATCTTACTTTTCATGAAGATTTTATGTTTTATTACCGACCAACAGCGCTCCTATAGACCGGTTGGATAACCGAATATTTTGTAAAACGAAACAGTGATAATGTCTGGTGAATATTTTTCCAAGTCCAGATGGTTTGTGGGTACGTAAGACGAGGCGTCCAGAACAGTAAACCATCTACACAAAGGTTATAAAAGAACAACAATAGAATGGTCCAGTTAGCGTGCAATTTTAGCTCCTACAAATAACCGAGAATCTGTGATTAATGATTCATTTTTTTGGCTCATTTGAAGGAATTGTAGCATAATATAATATAGAATATCAGTTGATAAAGTAATACAAACAACAGTTAATTACCCAGTAGAATTTCTCAGTGCGCTTAACCCACTTGGATTTCCAGCACATACACTTCGTATAAAAGTACTTAATACTTATTATACATTTCTTTTATACTTTAATTTGACAGCCGCGGATACCTTATAGTATATTATACACGGGTTTACTTATTTATTCATTTGATTTTGTCATTATTTCTGTTATAAATTTTTGTTTAGTTAATGGTTTTTTTTTTTTTTAAACTAGAGCCAAGCATTACAGCTGCAAGTGTGCTCACTATATCAACTATTACAAATTTACAAAGAACTTGTTAAATACAAAAAATTCAATTTCTTACGTAGTAAAAATATAAGAATTATTAAGTGATCTTTAGACTAAATAAAATTAGTGTTAAATAAAAAAGTGTCACCTCGTGGGCTCGTGGCTATCGACTCTGCAGGTGGTGGCGATGGAGCTAGATCGACATTTGAGTATCAGTGTGTAGTTGTGACAATATAATTATAACAACTCGTTGCACACAACACACGTAAACTTGAGTATAATACTGTCTCTATAGGTAAATATTATCTTATGATAGCACATATAGACGATGAATGAAGACCATGACAAACACTGGTCGGCGGTCGCTCTCATAGTCGTCTCATCTCATGGGACTGGTGCGTTCTCAATATTATAGCTACAGCATAGAGCAGCAATGTAGTATTTTAATATAATTATGTTTATGCAATCAAGGATGCAGAACCTACTTATAGTGCATAGTGCCAATTGTCATCGACAAAATAGATGCCTACAACTGACACCCATTTCAACTTTTTTTTTTTGGTGCGAAAATGTTTGCAGGCCATTTAAATCAATAACAGGCTACATGGAAAATTTTTTTGGGAGGGGGGAGGGGTTCCAGTGGGGACAAACACTGTAGAATATTTGTATAATTTATTTAATATGTTACTTAACTTATTTTATGGGTACCCTTCTTCACAATGTTAGTGTTATAATTTTATCAATTGTAATATTGTGGGACCACAAAACCACATTCTTGGAAATTAAACATTAGTAAAATAATTTTTTTTTTTAATAAGTACTGAAAAAATATAAAATATATATAATATAAAACACTTAGGTATATCGGCGCTTATAATTATTGTTGTCAGGCCAAAGAAGGCGTTTTAATGACTCAAACTTTGTTCAATTCGTTATTTAATATTCGGCGTATGGTGTTCAAAATTTATCTTAACTTTTCCGTAGCCCCGATTAGAAATTCTGATTCGCAGTAGTACATTTTCAAGTAGGCAATCTACCTTCGGTAGATCGCGGACCCCGTGCTGTTTAACTAATTTAACCCTTTCCAAAATAATCTATCTTCTTCCCAGAGGTCTAATCTACCTACAAACATTAATTTTTAGATATATATATATATATATATCTAACTAGGTATATAAATGCATAGACTTAACTCTGGAACTACTTCTCAGATCTTCTTATATATCTTATACATAAATATGTATCATGTATATTGAAAAAAGATAATAATACAATTAATCAACAAACATGCCCAATTAACCAATAGCAACCAATCCTATTAATATTATAAAAGTGAAAGTTTGTGACTTTGTTACTCTTTCGCGTAAAAATTACTGGACCGATCTTGATGAAATTTTTACTCTGTGTGTATTTTGGTCCAACTTATGACCTAGGCTAATTTAAAAAGGGAAAGGACCAACCCCGGGAGGTGCTCAAACGGGAATTTTGAGATTTCAGATGGAAATTTTTGTTTATAAATGGTTGCCAAGGGTTTTTAAGCTATTATAATAATAATAATAAAAAAATAAAATATTTGCTTCACTTTTTAAATATAAATTATATTTAATGGGATTAAATAAATTGATTATCCGCAGGTAGATTGCCTGCCTGATAATGTACTACTGCGATTCAGAATTTTTATTCCGGGCAACGGAAAAGATAAGAAAAATTTTGAACACCATACACCGAATATTAAATAAAGAATTGAGTCATATAGAGTTGGTACATTTAACGGGCAACGAAGTGCACGGAATCAGCTAGTATTTTATACACCGGTGGATTTTCTTAAAATTTTCTTTCATATAAACCTTCTCCATGAAATACTCTTTTGTTTAAAAAAAAAAAAAATCAAGAAGATCTGATAAGTACTTCCAGAGTTTAGCCTGTACAGAGATTTTTATTTCACATTTTTATAGTTAGATATTATATTATAGTTTATATTTAAAAAGTAAAACAAATAGTTTTTTTTTTTTTTATTATTAATATTATATAGCTTAAAATCTCATCATTGCTTATAGAAACATAATAATAATACTGGTTGAATATATATAAGTACAATAACAAATCGTCGATGTATATAGTAAATGGTTTGTTTGTTTTCGTGGAAACGAATTAAAACGATTCACTATAATTCTGTAATTCTGAAATTTCTAGAACGAATCATTTTATACGACGTCACTCCTGGCAACTATTTATAAACAAAAATTTCCATCCGTAATCTCAAAATTCCCATTTTAACACCTCTCGGGGTTGGTCCTCTCCCTTTTTTAAGTAGCCTATCTTTAAAGTTCAGCCAAATTACACACATTGTAAAAATTTCATCAAGATCGGTCCAGTAGTTTTGGAGTTTATCCCGGACAGAGACGTGACACGAGATTTTTATATATAAGAAGATAAACAAAATTACTTGTACATTTATATGTTTAGTATTATTATTATTATTATTATTATTTTTTTTTTTACTGAAAAATAATATTAGTCATTTTTTTATGGATTGTTTTAGGGATTTTAGTATTTTATATTTTGTTGTATGAAAACAAAACAATAAATTGCTAATTAAACTAGACGAAATTGTGGTCCTTCATTCTGATTTGCAAAAAAAGCAAAACAAATCTTTTGTTGTACTATTTATCATTTTTCTTCATCTACTTATGTGTCTACATTTTTTTTTTTTTTTATTATTATTAATTTACATCGGCGACAAAGGCCATTAGTTTCAATTGCTTACAATTACATTTTATTATTTTACTGTTAGACTTAAATTTTACTATACAGATTTGTTTTGCTTAAGAATTTAAGGACTTTTATGGTATCTGCGTCAGGTCTGAGGGCTAAATCCTAGTGTGTTGGGTATGCGGAATCTATATTTTTGTATATAACCTTGTAATCCTATACAATAAAATACTAATTTATCTATATTATTAATAAAATTCATAACAAGAAATGTTCTTAAATTATGGCTAAATTAAAGATTTGAAAGAAAAAAAACTTAAGCAATAAATTGCAACCTTTTGTACAGATTTGTATACTATACACACTATTTGAGTATTTGACATCACCACCTTTTGGTAGGTAGGTAGCTATAATAATTTAAATGTGTATACTACGCAATATGACATTGTGTAAAATGTATTTTAAAATGAGTATGGCTGATAATAATAATTTACAATAAACCGTACTGAACAAAGTTAAATACATGCCGTCTATTATTCATGTCATGCATTGTCTGACACAGGGGAGGAGGCAATTGCTCCCTCAGTCCCCGAGTTATATATCTACATAGCTAAATATTTGACATTTGACCCATAAAATAGAAAAAAAGATTGAAAATCTGCATATAAATGGCTGCAATAGTGCAATTGTATATCAAAATCAGGTGAAGAATATAAAAAACTTTATGTAACACTACAATTTTGGCTCCTCTATAAAAAAAAATATCCAAAAATTGTTTAAAATTTTTTTTGAAATATTTTAAGTTGATTTGGAAATAAAATCTGTGTGTTGATGAGGGTGATGGTCGAGCGTGCATTAAGCTTACGCGCCGTCACCGATTCCTGGTCAGTACTTTTTGATTGACACTGGCCATGGTGTGATGAGACGCATATAGTTAAATAGGCTTAAGTGGAAATCTGGAAGTTTTTGAAAGCTGTTTCGAAAAGCACTGCCTAGATTTGGGAGGCAATTTTTGTGCCTGCGAAATTAATCATAGGAATATTTTTAATCGCCACATTAATAATAATAAACGATATTAATAATAAATAATAATAACATTTATATTCCCTTATTATGACATACAAGTTTGTCGTATTATAATTTTATCATTTAAAGTTCAAATGAAAATTAGTAATTACATTATATATTTTTATCCTAAAAGTTTAATTTTTTTTTTTGATGACAGTGCATTTTTGGCCCACTCGTATTTTACATTTTTGAATATCTTCGCGTTTCATATAGATTCCGAAAATGCTTTTGCCTTGCCATTTGTGTTGGGCCAATATGGACAGTGGCTTATAAATGCTCTCCGATGTATCCTGATCAATATTTACCATTTTGCACCTTTCGCAACCAGAATCGAACTGTGAAAAAATGTGACATTTATGATACCACACTGCAAGTAAAAAGAAATATAATGTATAGATGAATTGTCTGCCTTACTTGAAATTTGACACCTCCAATGTCCAACTGGTCCCAAGTTAATTCGGCATAGGCTGGTAGATTGTTGCCAGAAATCAAGAAGTTACCACGGAATCGAAATAACAAACTATCTTCATCCTAATGATTCGATATATTATGGTTGTTAATAATATTACTAACGTTATAATAATAGGTATCTAATTAATAAAATGCATTTTACGAATTTACTATTTCCGTTATTTCGTTTTCCATTTCTTGCTGTAACCACTTGAGCGTTGATTTTGTGGTCAATAGGTACTGGCATTGGTTGGCACCCAATACCTTTGGATCTAACTTTCCTAAATTTCATATAATTAAAACTAAATAGTTGGTACGTAGTAATCAGTAACAATACCTACCTATTATTATTATTATTATTATTATTTATATACGATTGTTTATAATGTTTCATTTAATGATTTATAGATAATTATTTGGCTATTTTGATGTCCAGTAATTTATATGTAGGTACGTATAGACTGCTACAGTGTTACTACAGGATAATATATACCTACCTACATAACACAAACAACTCTCGGAAACGTTCAAAAACGAAAAATTTAGTCAATGTCATTGCTCCTAGACAACATTTTAATATTTTGTTTCACATGGTCATCGATTGAATGAATTAGTTTACCATAGTTGTTAACCACTGGTGGATTGCGGCCGGTGCACCTAATGAGTCTTAACCCAGGCCGATCGAGGTTCCAACTGAGCCATTCGGCCACTTCGTCGCCACAGTCGATTCCTTCCAAAGATCCACCCCAACATATTTTTCCCGTTTTCTTGGTGTCACCGTGTTTCGTGTTCAATGAAACTACCATCGGCACTTCATCTTTGTTTTCTGGAAAAGAAGTAAAAACTTTTTTTTTTCAGAGAATAATTAGCCATTGACAATAATGTTATGTTTCTATACTAATGGTTGTTAATTTCTTTCATCAATAAACATGATGTCATTGTACTGATTGGGCCGTAACTGAAAACAATCGTTTTTTTCATCGTTTTACGTTCAAAATATAAAAACCTCTTGTTCTACGTTTAAAAATGTAGAGGGTGGTGGGTCCGGAATACTGGACTCCCCCCACTACCAGTTACGGCCTTGGTATCAATTGTTGATGCGTATATAATAGCTATTGCATGTGTTTCAAGTAACAATATTTTGAATTGTGATGTCATACATGAAATATGGGTTATGTTGGGTGTTTACCTATAGGTATTTTTAGGCCACATTCTATTATATACATCACCGTGTCCCGTCTAGACCGTGCAGTTGTTTTAACTGTTGTCAGCGTCAAAATAGCTGCACGTCCGCTGTTATAATAGTTGTGAGGAAAATTAGTGGTTAAATATTTTCAACTGTTTGGCATACTATTGTGGCAACGTGTTAATTATGGCATTAAATACATGGGACCCCAAAATGCCGCATTCACACGTTTACTATACTACCTATCATAATATAAATGTATAATAAGAACATAGCTATATATTTCTATATTATTATTGGTTAAAAAAAAAAAACAGCAAAATATAAATAACAACTACGTTTGTGTCAAAGCCTGTTAGATTTACCGGCGTATACTAGGGTCATGGTTCCTTTTTGCAAATCTACATAAGGCCGGACCAGACAGAGTTTTGGCTCCTCCATTTGCGTCATACACACTCCCGTCGCGCTGACCACCGCCCAGTTTCGGTCGTATTGAAACCCATACGATTCCAATTGCCATTCCTCCGTTTCGTATGCTCCGCAAGACTTGATCGGGTAAACGAAAATTCTTGACACGTGCAAATTCATTGTATTGTACCTTCGATAAAAACGAAATCGAATCATTATACAATATAGGTATATATTATATAGGTGAGCAATACGAAGGACGTTTGTTTGAGTATCGTTTTTGAGGAGGAGGAGAAGGAAGAACATGGCTGGCCATCTCTTAACACTTCAACAATTTTAAACTGTAAGGATAACATTGTTGAGCAAACTTTTAGTCCCTACATATTATACAAAAGATGTATCAGATTCTATTTTTGGGCATTTAGGGGGTGTGGGTGGATTATCTTTAGCCCCTGTGTCGGACTATTAAATACTACCATGGACTCAGTAAATACTACCATGGACTCAGCAGACTATCAAAATATTATGTCTGTACTCAAACATTGTTCGAATCAATTTGGAAATTAATTAAAAATTGCCTATTACTCGTCGACTGTCTTCGGTTGACGGTTTAAGGGTTTGACCGGATTTCTCTGCCAAAATTGTTCGACAAGCGTATCGTAAAGTCTATCAGCATCCGATTCGCTGGACTGGTAGCCAAATGAAACCCGAACTGATCCTGTCGGCCGTCCGTTAATAAGATCAATGTGATCGCCGCAAATGTGACCTCTGTAATAATAATAATAAAAAATATGTAAAAGTACCTAATGATGATACTGATGTATAATAGTAGATTTCCAGTAGTAATAATATTGTAACAATTTGGTTATGGATATACTCACATCACCTCTTGGTTTCGTCTCAACTCCTCGTCTGTATGACCCAAATGCTTCTGACACGCCCCGGGGTTGCAAAAACAACCCACTCGGAGTACTATACCGTGACTACTGGCTACGTATTTCACCTGGAAACGACAATGGTTTGAATATTGTATGATGTATGTATTATGAAAAAAACAAAACATACAATACGAACATATTATGAATATAGGTATCATACATAAACCTAAAGGGTCATCCCCCGCTACCTAGGAATAGGTGGGTCTTGATTTTTTTTTTTTTAAAGTATTTTTATTTTATTGTATTATTCACAATATGATATATAACAATTGTAAATTAATCTTTAAATAAAAATAAAACCGTATATAACTACGCAGTTAAAAAAATGTATGAATTGATTAATGTGGGTGCTGTATTAAAAAATGTATCTCCTCCACCCACATCCCACTTATCGAGTTTGATTTGCACCATTATTGTAAATAGGTACATTATACATCTTGGATTAAATAAAAAATAATATAATATTTAAATATGATATTAAAATACATACGTATTGTAATTACACTTCATTATGCATTTTTATATTATATTTTGCACACGATCAACACTATTATCATTTATTAAAGCCAGTATAATGGATAATGTTTAAAACTAACATACTACCTATACGTAGGTACTAGGTACTACATACATGTTGACTTAATAATAGAATATTGCATATTTCAACCATGGTAATATAATTACCTATTTACTAATGAGAACATTATAAATAACAATCAACACTTGCCTAACATATAAGTCTAAGTATAGGTATAGGCTAAATCGACATTCATAAATATTAATGCCATTGATTATAAAGTAAAAATTCACTAATCTCGTTAAAACTCATCAGAAATGTACTTAAAATATTATTTTCGGTTTCACTTGTAGCTTTTTATGGTTTTTTTTTTTTTTTTTTTGTTAAATTTCTTTTCAATTAATGTAATAAAACGATTATGTTTTTTTTACTCAAACATAGTTAAAGCCTTTAATTTATATTACTTATGTATTATTGTCTACAATATGTTAAGCGATGTATTAAAAAGCAATAGGTACCTATTGTTGAACGTCCTCACTCCTCGAATGAATATTAAATTACTAATTTTAAATAAGTTACAGTAAGAGTGAAGAATGCAGTATATTTTGCGGTTTATTGACTTAAAGTAGGTAGGTAATTGAATTAATGTTGTAAACATGACGTTTTAATTAAAATAAACTTTTACTTTTGTAACTTACCTACTCGTTATTTAATGTTAGGTAGGTACTGAAAAATATTTAACTTTAAGTTTTATGGATTCAAGAAAAACAATTAACTTTTTGTAAATATTTAAACTAAGAGCAAACTCGAACAACTAAAATTACATTACATTTAATACTACCTAATCAATAATCATATAAGTAGTTACTTAAATAATTCTAATGATTTTGTTTACGATAAATATTTGTTAAAATACAACAAATTAACAATCAGTAAAAACCTAAGCTGTTACACTAAGACATTAAAACATTTTGTAATACCATTGATTTTATAAAATCAATGATAATACCTAGCTAAAAATAAAAATATTATAAATTCAAGCCAAAATTTATTTTGTTATAAATTAAGTATTAAGGACATCTGTTAAACTTACCAGTATTGCAATTTATAGATGTTTGAATAAAATTGTAATATTTTGTATCGAGCGTCTAATATTATTTACTACCTATTTCAAACAACGCACGTTTTTTCATAGGAACACCCGAACTCTGCGTTATTATTCTTATCTCGTAATAATAAGTGGGAATGAAGACTGAAGAGATTGAAAAATAATTTCCGTATACAGAGAGATCGTTTTTTTAATTAATTATTGAACTACTTAACAATAGTTTTATTACATTAAATAACTTTGTAAGTTTTAAGTTAATTTATTTACAGACACATTTATTTTATAAACTTATCAGATATCATAATAGAATTGTAAAAATATAAAATATTATATACATTTTATTCAATTACGGTATACTAACATACAGTGTTGTGAACAATAATAATTTTATCTTTTCATTATATTTTTGTTAATTTATATTTTGATAATTTATATTAATTGGTGGATTATGTGTTATCGTTTTATATACATTAATGAAACTAGATGTGGCGCGGTTGTCGTCCTCAGTCACAAAACCAGCTCTGAGTGCAAGCACTGCCCGGTATCACCATAGTTCCCGGATGGTTGACCCACCCGAGTTTTAGTGACAAATCCTTGCCACATATACTATAGTGTTTAAACCAATCGTACCCTCCCCCATAGTAAAAAACTAACTTAAAAATAACCTTCATCCAATGACCTATGCCTATGTACCTAGCCACGAGTTAATTAATAAAATAAAAATAAAAGAAAGGTTTTTGAAATCCGAGAATGACTTGTTACATGCTGTATATTATTATAAAAATATGTGATAATAACAACAATTATATTTAATAATAATAATATATATATATAATAATAATAATGATAATAATATATACATAATAATAATAATTATATATATTTAATAAAAATAATATATATAATAATAATTATTAATAATAACTTCAGTTGATAAATTATATCAGTCACATAAGGGGGAATGAGTCGATGAAAAAAAGGTGAATTTTAGACTGATAAGCTAGACAAAACTGGAGGAATTTCGTTTGACGGATTTTATTTTTGAAAACGGATTATGATTGATTAACAAGTTTACTAGGTTATGCCATGGGCGATTTTGAATATTTATTTTTTCAGCTGTGATATCCAAGAATAAAATAGGTGCTCTCCTGTACAGTAGGTTACAAGTGGGTCACTGTATAATGAATGGTATTAAATTTAAATTCAATGATATAATATCATTGTATGAGAAAAACGATTCTAAGCGGAGACGGTATGTCAGTCTAGGTATATAAGACATATTATATACTTATCTATGGTATTAAAAAAAAATGACCTATAATAGGTACCTATTCCAAATTAATCATATCACAATATTCATTAAGTACTTATAACTCGTTATACATCAACACAAAAAGTGATACTATCATAGATATATAATAGTGTACCTACTTTATATGTTTCAAGTACCCACGAATAATATCATACAATCACAACAAAATAACTAAAATAGTTATTCTAGGTTTTTTTTATGTAATTTCGTCAAAATTTGAACTTAAAATGACTATAAAAATAAACTGTGCTTATGTATTTTTTTGGTAACAGAATTAACTACTTATGTGGAATCTTGTTTTGCATTTTTAATCCTTAGATATAAAAGTTGAACATTTTATAAATTTTTAACTACAAAATAATTATTAAATTTTGTCAAAATCCGATCTTTAAATTCTTATAAAAAAAAACTGTGACTAAGAATTTTTATTATTTTTCATCTGCCTTTAAAACAATATGCTATGAGCTTTCTATTAAATTTTCAAGATTTTTTAACCAAGAAATAAAATTTTATTGATATTTTTAGAAAAAAAACTAAAAAAAAATGGAAAATGAAAATGTCCCTAAACAGTTCAAAATAAATCAAAATATTTTGAAAATGTTATCGTGTATAGAAAATGCAAATATAAACAACCAGTGAAAATTTCATGTATCTACGGTCATTTGTTTTAAAGTTACACCAAAGACCAAATTCGATTTTGCGTAAAAATTCCCGTTTTTCCTTAATTTTTTTTTTGTTTTTCTTGGCGCTTTTGAAAATTACTGGGAATTTTGACCTCCCCAATGCACCAACGATATTCACTTTCCAATCGAACAAGTTACTGAAGTTTAAAATCGAAGCATTATTTCGACTACTTATCGTGTACACAGACAGCACAAAAAAAAAAAAATAATAAAAAAAAAACACACATTATATATTTACAACATATCATTGTAAAATCAATACATTCATCTTTCCCCTCAGAATCTAAAATAAAAATAATTTTTTTATTACTACACGTATACCGCAAGTGGCTATATACATAAAAAAAAATTTTAAAATATTGATTAGAACAAAAGTTATTCCAAAAGTCAGTTCTACCTACCTATAATCATTATCAAATATTCAAATATAATATATTAATTATTCGATTGTTCTAACAGGGAGTGGGGATCTTATTTTTATGCTCGATTCTTTCCCGCGAAATGAAAAAAAAAAAAACGAAAACAATCGGACAGATCGCTGTTGCAGAGGTGCCAGAAATGTCACTGTGGGTTCACTGACCTCGTTGTAGCCGACGTAATCGCCGTTGGCCCTCAGCACGTT